TCCATTCCCCCAGTAACCAGATGAAACATAATTCTGGGAGTCAACTCATTTATTTTTGACCAAACACACCTTTTATGCACAGAACCCCCTACATGGGATCTCCAATACAATAACACAGGGGTTTCAACCCAAGAACCTCTGTGCCTGAGGTAATTCTGTGAGAAAAACCAATAATTCAATGATCTCTCAGGTACAGAAAATCCATACAAAATATACAGTGCCCTCAAATGTTATATTCCCGGATAGCCACAATCTGAGTACATAACATATCCAAAAATCACTCAGATCGGTTCGGTGAAATGGGAATGCCTCTGGGGTAAAGTTTTGACTGGCCGGACACGAGGCGCTAGCCCAAAATAGTTCCAGGAAAATAAGTGTCCTGACCAGTCTCTGTTCGGGGATTCCTGTGCAAACACCATGCAAGGGATTTTCTTAGTTTCAGGGTACAAATGCTCCCCCTGTTTGGTAGTTCATATCTCCCAAACGTCGTTCACTTAGCTGGTCGGGAAGTAGAACGGGCAGCGGTCCAATATTTACCAGGGTTCGTGCGAGTTCCTAGCTGAAAAGAGTTCCAAGCACTCTATGACCAAGTGCCACGACCCACTTTCAGGAGACAAGATGTCCGTCATTCTTTAGTCGACCACGTGCGTTCGGTTATACAAATTGCCGGCCACCCAGGGGAAGCATTAATTAATTATTTCCCTTGCAGTGTCGCACTTAAGTTGCTGGTGTGAACTTTCTAATGGAGTACAGGGGTGGTCCTCATTCAGGAGACAAATAGATGGAGTTCGTATATAACAACTCCTAAATGGAAAAGGGAAAAAAAACATGAAAGATGGTGAAACTTACAAAATTGGTGGTAGGTACCACCACAAATATATAAACAAAACTTTATACCTCCATTGGAAATATGACTATGCATAGTGAAGTGCAGATATTTCATTAGCCTCAGCCAGTCCTTCTGCTGGTGTGGTACTTTATTTGGTAAATATACCATGAAAGAAGATGCAAATGCCCCTAAGTGTGTTGCAAATATAGATTTCATTTAAAACTTACAGAGCTGATCAAAATCTATAAGTGATTAAAACTTATAATTGTTTTTTCCATAAGACGTTTTGTGTGAAGGGATATTGGACATTAATGACATCGGCCAGTGTTTGTAAAAGAAATGGAGGAAATGAAGTAGACTGTAATGACATCAGTTTTTGGAGACGGAAGTGACGAATGCTGATGTAAGCCCACATGGCGTAAGGAATCCAATTTGCGAGTACGCCAATAGGATTTTAAAAGGTGGAAAAGCCTTGAAGGTCCTTTGATAAATACTAAAAGGACAAAATGTGTCAGTGCACTTCCTAATAGACCTTTTTTAAATACCTGGACCATGTATTTTATTTAATGTTCCCAATAAAGTAAGTGTTATTTTTCAACCTTTTCCATTCCACATTTCTTGCAATATAAACAAATTAAAACCAATGTGGCTTAGTACAGAAGTAAAACAAGAGATTAAAAATAAGAAAAGGGCATTTAAAGCATTTAAATCGGACAAATCAGAGGCATCCTATATGAGATATAAGGAAGCCAATAATACTTGCAAAAAGGCACTTATAGTGGCTAAACTAGAAAATGAGAAATTGATAGCCAAAGAATGCAAAACCAACCCCCAAAATTTTTTCAAGTACATCAATTCTAAAAAAACAAAAAATGAAAGTGTAGGTACACTGAAAACAGAGATGGGTCTTTTAGTTAATGAAGACCAGGAAAAGGCAGAAATTTTAAATGACTATTTTTCTTCAGTATATATTAATAAGGATCCTATGGCAAGAGATAAGTAAATGATTGCTGCAACAAACTTGCAGACAACTTGTGATTGGATAACTCGAGACAAGGTGCTACAGCTATTAAAGAAAATTAATGTAAATAAAGCTCAGGGGCCTGATGGTATCCACCCACGAGTACTTAAGGAGCTAAGTGGGGAAATAAGTGAACCTCTGTATTTAATTTTTCAAGATTCTTTTGTTTCAGGTATTGTACCAGAGGATTGGAGGAAGGCAGATGTTGTTCCTATATTTAAAAAAGTTTCAAAATCCTTGCCTGGAAATTATAGACCTGTGAGCTTAACTTCTGTGACTGGGAAATTATTTGAACGGCTATTAAGGGATAATATTCAGGAATTCTTGGGAAGAACTGTGTTATTAGCAATAATCAGCATGTTTTTTTGAAACATAGGTCATGTCAAACTAACCTAATTGCATTCTACGAAGAAGTAAGTAGAAGTATAGATCAGGGTGTTGCAGTGGATGTGATCTACTTGGATTTTGCCAAGGGATTTGATATAGTTCCTCACAATAGGTTAGTCTTCAAACTAAAAGAAATTGGGAATTGTTATAGACAACAAATTAGGCAGCAATATGCAATGTCAATCTGCCGTTGCTAAGGCCAGTAAGGTTTTGTCATGTATAAATAGGGGCATAAATTCTCGAGATGAAAATATAATTTTGCCTCTTTATAATTTGCTGGTAAGACCACACCTTGAATATGCTGTGCAATTTTGGGCACCTGTTCTAAAGAAGGATATCATGGCACTAGGAAAAGTGCAGAGACAAGCTACAAAATTGATAAAAGGAATGGAGCATTTTATTTATGAAGAAAGGTTAAACAATTTAAATCTCTTTAGTTTGGAAAAAGAGTGCCTGAGAGGGGATATGATAACATTATACAAATATATTCGGGGCCAGTACAAACCATTATCTGGAAATCTATTCATAAACAGGGCTATACATAGGACATGAGGTCACACATTTAGGCTGGAAGAAAGGAGATTTCATCTAAGGCAAAGAAAAGGTTTTTTTTACAGTAAGAGCAATAAGGATATGGAATTATTTGCATGAAGAGGTGGTTTTGTCAGAGTCTATACAGATGTTTAAACTGCAATTGGATAAATACTTGCAAAAACGTAACATACAGGGATATAATTTCTAATTAGTGGGGTAATAGCTGCTTGATCCAAGGAGACATCTGACTGCTATTTTGGGATCAAGAAGGAATTTTTTCCTAGTTTGTTGCAGCGCTTCATACTGGGTTTTTTGCCTTCTTTTGGATCAACAGCAAAAACATATGTGAGGAAGGCTGAACTTGATGTACGCAAGTCTCTTTTCAGCTATGTAACTATGTAACTATACCTGTAGTTGGATGGGGATTAAATACACTTACCTGGCACAGGGGAAGCAACATTGCGCAAATAGTAAGGATCACATCAGTGCCATATATTTTGGAACCTTTTATGGCCTGAGCCAGCTTGTCTGTGGCTCATGATCACGTGAGAGAGATTGATTTGCTCTTTCCAAACTAATTATTGCATTAATTGATACACTATGATATGTTTGTTTTGTTTATTTTTATAGTACAACTGCTATTCCACTTTTTGGTAATTGTATTTATACTGTGTGTGCTTTCACCCATTTTCTGATTTATTTATTTTTTTATTCACTACATGCATGTGCTGTAGATGCCATGCACAGGGTGGTTGTAGCACCTTTTATACAGTATATAAGTTATTTGTCTTTCTTCTGTATATCAGCATTTATAATGATACTCATGTCTTTGTTCTAACCATATCAAGCAGTAGGCAAACACGTGGAGCTAATTTGAAAGATGCTAGTATTCGCAAAATGAATATTACAGAAAGATAAGAGGGAATAAGACAAAATAGATACAAAAGCTCTAAAACTGGAAAGAAAGGAATTCACCAAATCCTATAAAGCATAAAAAAAAAAAAAATACACCATAAAATATAGTATGAGTGTCCAGGAGCTAAATGCAAATGATAAATAAAGAGTAAATGCAATATGCAAAATAATGTGTATATATATATATATATATATATATATATATATATATATATATATATATATAGCCCTTAAGAAAATGTCCATGATGTGTAATAAAATAAAAAGTCCAAAGTAAAATATAATATATAAATTCAGAGTAGGAAATGAGTCCAAAGCAATCTGTAAGTCCTTGCGAGTCCTTTAGAGGTATTTATACCATAAGTAACCCTAAACCTGCTTGTGAAGACAACACAGGGCTGATGATACTTATGTCTTATAATCTACTTTTATGTGCATAAAAGATGTATATGTCACATATTCATCTGCTTATAAAAATGTGATTAATGGAATTTACTGTTCAGACAGGAAAAGTTGTGCCGAACAACATTACTGTCCCGACAGGAAAAGTTGTGCCGAGCAGCAATCAAATCCACAGTGGGTTTGTGCTGAGCAGCTATTATGCAAATGGGAACCTGGTAACTGTGTTTGGGGTCAAAGGCCGATTACACCCTATCAGATCCAGAGGAGGGGTATTTAGGTTCAGTTCTCAGCCTGCTCAGTGCCCTGTCGTGGTTTCCCTTGTGGTTGTCCAAGAGCCCGTTATTCAGGGGTGGACTGAGAGCCTTTGGGGCCCCCGGGCAAAATTAGATCCCAGGCCCTTTGAAGGCCAAATATACGTGCATTAAATAAATGTTAAATATAACTCATAATACGACATTCCTTTGGATGTGTATAATGTCAAGACCTGTGTATCAATGCATGTTTGTATTTGAGTCTGTGTGAATGCACTTGTGCATGTCTGGATGACTACATGTGCTTTTTTGGATATAGTGTCTCTGTGAATGCATATGTGACAGGTGACCGAGTGTGTGAGGGAGAAGGTGACTGGTGGAAGAGTGTGGGAGGTTGTGATAGGTGGCAGAGTGAGGGGGTACCTGGTGGCAGAGTGAGGGAAGGAGGGGATGAGTGGTGGCAGAGTGAGGGGGAGACACAGTGAGTGGGGGTGACTGGTGACAGAGTGAGGGAGTGGGTGACTAGTGACAGAGGGAGGGACAGGGGGTGACTAGTGACAGAGTTAGGGAATGGGTGACTAGTGGCAGAGTGGGGGAGGGAGGGAAAAGATGACTAGTGGCAAAGTGAGGGAGGGAAGAGGTGACTAGAGACAGAAGGAGGGGATGACTGGTGACAGAGGGAGGGAGTGACTAGTGACAGAGGGAGGGAGGGGGTGACTGTCACTAGTCACCCCATCCCTCTCTCTGTCATTAGTCACTCCCTCCCTAACTCTGTCACTGTGTCACCCGCTCCCTCACTCTGTCACTAGTCACCCCCTCACTCACTGTCACTAATCACCCCCTCTGTCCCTAGTCACCCCATCCCTCTCTCTGTCACTAGTCACCCCATCCCTTTCTCTGTCACTAGTCACCCCATCCCTCCCTCTGTCACTAATCACCCCATCCCTCACTCTGTCACTAATCACCACCTCCCTCACTCTGTCACTAATCACCACCTCCCTCACTCTGTCACTAGTCACCCCTTCCCTTCCTCTCTCTGTCACTAGTCACCCCCTCCCTCCCTCTCTCTGTCACTAGTCACACCCTCCCTCACTGTCACTAGTCACACCCTTCCTCACTGTCACTAGTCACACCCTCCCTCACTCTGTCACTAGTCACCCCCTCTCTCTCTCTGTCACTAGTCACCCCCTCCCTCTCTCTGTCACTAGTCACACCGTCCCTCACTGGCACTAGAGTGAGGGGGTGACAGGTGACAGAGTGAGGGGATGACTGGTGACAGAGTGAGGGAGGTGGTGACTAGTGACAGAGTGAGGGAGGTGTTGACTGTCACTAGTCACCACCTCCCTCACTTTGTCCCTAGTCACTCCTCCCACTGTCACTAGTCACCCCCTCCCTCTCTGTGTCACTAGTCACACCCTCCCTCACTCTGTCACTAGAGTGAGGGGGTGACTAGTGACAGAGTGAGGGGGTGACAGGTGACAGAGTGAGGCAAGGGGTGACTAGTGGCAGATTGAGAGAAGGAAGGGGTGACTAGTGACAGAGTGAGGAAGGGGGTCACACAGTGACAGAGTGAGGGAGGGGGTGACACAGTGACAGAGTGAAGGAGGTGGTGACTGTCACTAGTCACCCCATTCCTCCCTCTGTCACTAATCACCACCTCCCTCACTCTGTCACTAGTCATCCCTTTCCTCCCTCACTCTGTCACTAGACACCCCCTCCCTCTCTCTGTCACTAGTCACACCCTCCCTCTCTCTGTCACTAGAGTGAGGGGGTGACTAGTGAAAGAGTGAGGGGGTGACAGGTGACAGTAAGGGAAGGGGAGACTAGTGACAGAGTGAGGGAAGGAAGGGGTGACTAGTGACAGAGTGAGGGGATGACTGGTGACAGAGTGAGGGAGGGGGTGACTAGTGACAGTGAGGGAGGTGGTGACTGTCACTAGTCACCACCTCCCTCACTCTGTCCCTAGTCACCCCCTTCCTCACTCTGTCACTAGAGTGAGGGGGTAACTAGTGACAGAGTGAGGGAAGGGGTGACTAGTGGCAGAGTGAGGGAAGGAAGGGGTGACTAGTGACAGAATGAGGGAGGTGGTGACTGTCACTAGTCACCACCTCCCTCACTCTGTCACTAGTCACCACCTTCCTCTGTCACTACTCCTTCCCTCCTTCTGTCACTAGTCACCCCCTGGGTCCCTTACTCTGTCACTAGTCACCCCCTAACTCACCCTGTCACTAGTCATCCCCCTAACTCACTCTGTCACTAGTCATCCCCCTCTCACTCTGTCACCAGTCATCCGCTCACTCTGTCACCATTCACCCCTTCCTTCCCTCACTCTGCCACTAGTCACCCCTTCCCTCACTCTGTCACCAGTCATTCCCTCACTCTAGTGACAGAGTGAGGGAGGGTGTGACTAGTGACAGAGTGAGGGAGAGGGTGACTAGTGACAGAGTGAGGGAGTGATTAGTGACAGAGTGAAGGAGGGAATGGGTGACTAGTGACAGAGTGAGGGAGAGGTGACTAGTGACGGGGGGGTTACCTGTGAGGGAGGGTGTGACTAGTGACAGAATGAGGGAGAGGGTGACTAGTGACACAGGGAGGGAGATGGTGACTAGTGACAGAGGGAGGGAGATGGTGACTGTCACTAGTCACCCCATCCCTCCCTCTGTCACTAGTCACTCCCTCCCTAACTCTGTCACTAGTCATCCCCTCACTCTGTCACTAGTCACCCCATCCCTCCCTCTGTCACTGTGTCACCCCATCCCTCCCTCTGTCACTAGTCACTCCCTCCCTAACTCTGTCACTAGTCATCCCCTCACTCTGTCACTAGTCACCCCCTCCCTCTGTCACCGTGTCACCCCATCCCTCCCTCTGTCACCGTGTCACCCCCTCCCTCCCTCTGTCACTACTCATCCCCTCCCTTACTCTGTCACTAGTCAACCCGTCCCTCACTCTGTCACTAGTCACCCCCTCCCTCACTCTGTAACTAGTCACCCCCTCCCTCTGTCACTGGTCATCCCCCCCCTTACTCTGTCACTAGTCACCCACTCACTCTAGTAACAGAGTGAGGGAGAGGGTGACTAGTGACAGAGTGAGGGAGGGGGTGACTAGTGACAGAGTGAGGGATGGGGTGACTAGTGACAGAGTAAGGGAGGGAAGGGGTGACCAGCGACAAAGTGAGGGAGGAAAGGGGTGACTGAGTGAG